GACGGAGGCCGTTTAGTCAAAGATAGACAGACAGAGCAAAGCTTAGCACAGTTTCTTCGGGGTCGCAGGCCGGTGAGCCGAGGACTTCTTCACACAATTCAACAGTCTTCACGAAGCGACAATTCTCCTTCGGTTTCAGCTGGGACCACTTCACGAATTCCTCCCAATCGAATTTCCCTTTGAAATTGAGAGTCATGCCACAACAGGGATGACAGCCTTAGTTGCTTTTTATGGGGCCGACAGCTCAGCTGCCCAAGAAGGATGGGAAGGTGTTTATGATCCTTGTCTTGAGTGTGGGTATTCTGCTCTGTTCTGCTCTCTACGTGTCTACACATTTTGGATTAGTCTACGAGTAGAGTGGCATCATCCACGGCGAAATGCCGTCTTTTAGTCGCCAGTCGGGTCTGGCGCACAGTGAAAAGGAGAAAATCTTGGCGTCAATTGGCCATAAATAGTGCCAAGGTTATTCCTTATAAACTTTTTACGAGATACCGCCCCACCTTCTTCTCCTCTAATGCAGTGAGACTAGATGAAAATTTAGAATGCGGCGAACTTCTCCTTCATAAGGACTATCGGATTTGCATTATTAATCCTTGCCTGAGGTTTTGTCTTTTGTCTGATGCTTCTCTTCTTTTATTTTCAATTTGATTCCTGACTTGGCCCCATTTCGGGTCGGAATTTATCGCTTTCTATCTTTCCCCTATCATTACTGCGTCTTGGACCTTATTCTTTTTTTATGCCCTTGTTCATTCTTACTCAAGTTTAAGTATTAGGGACTGGTTTCATATGCTCACATTTAGTAGGCATCGTTACCATCAGTAAATATAATATAGGAACTGTACTCAATCTAGGTTCCATAAGGTTATGAAGGTATAATAATTGAATTTTCCCGGCATGATAATAGTAGGTTTCATGATGCAATTGAATTTCACATGGCCTTGCCTCTCATAAAAGGTTTTCCGATCCAATATCGTCAACAGCCCTAAAATAAAAGTTTCTTATTACGCTTTTTCTCTTCTCAAATTGATACGTGAAATATCATATGACCAATTGTCAAATTCCTTCTAGAACCCATTTCCTCCTTTGTTTAAGTTCGAAAGTTTTGAAGTTTTCTGTTTTTTTATCCCAGGCCGACTTTTGTTATCCCGAAAGGACTCTGTCCTCATTTTTACCAGGTGCGTGTTGACAACCTTTCATGCTATTTTATTCTTTCAGCTCATTTATTCTATGAAATTCACATCTACCCTGTGTCCCAAGGGCACTCGTGGTAATATGGCATAGTTATTAACTTGATGAGACTATACGCTACATTGTCATGGTTAGAGTTCTGCTTGTAGTGTCAATAAGACCTAGGCGAGGTCTAAACGACATTTCATTCTAGCCGGGAAGGAATACTTTTTTAAAGCAAGGCTATGAGAACTTGCATAAAAAACAAAATGTTTACTCATATTTTTGTGGGAAACTTCAATTTTTAGTCCTGCAAAGATTGTATATGCAAAAAAATCAGTCATGCTCACTTTATAATATTCGAATCCTTATCTTTTTACCCCCATTTATGTTTGTCTTAATTAATCCTTATTCATGCAAGGTTTGATTTTCCCGTTTCTCTTGCTCTCTGAGGGACTGATTCTATATAATTTCCTACACAGCATCACACAGACTCATTTTCTGCCATTAGCTGGGTTCACAGCCAAAGCTTGTCAACATTTCCCAATCAACCGCGCCCATCAGCCGTTAGGCTAGTCTAAACCGAAATCTAAGGACAAAGTTTTCCTCCGTTTCTTCATGCACCAACTGTTTCTTTGGTTGGTTATCATTTTTCTGTTGAGCTTACTTCAATTTCATGTGAAAGTCTTTGGTGAAGAGATTCGAAGGGCGACTCCACCAGAAGACAACGGCGGATTCATCTTGACCAGCTGTCGATTGGATTTACTGGAAGATTCATGCTGACGCTGATTCCGAGGGAATCTTCTTCGATTCCGGTGAAAAGGCCCAAAATTTTCGTCCGTCACATGACGAACGTCATAAGAGCCAGCTACCATCGTCACAACCAAATTCAAGCTAATGATTCAAGAAAACTCACCGGCAAATCCCTAAAAATTGGTATATATACTCTACATCTGGCCTCTTTGATCAAGTATAAAGTGATTTGGTTAGTTACGGTCATATGTCTCGAAGCTTGTGAGTGTGTCTGTCTCTGTGTGTCTATGTGCCTTTTTGTGTTCGCTCATGCACG